GTCTGTGCCAAAAAAAAGCTTTAACCGCCAAGCGAGAGCTTTTACGTTCATTTACGCTCAAAAGCTGGCGGCGGTATTGATTGCTGCCGAAAAACAAGGGGGATGCCGGGGGGAGTCTTGGCAGGACGGTGACGAGGGAGAAGAACTCGCTAAACAGGCAACATACTCGCCAGTAGCTTAACCCTCCAATGGCTGCTGTTAGTTGAATCGACCTAGCCCGCTGCTGCATCTGATGGCCTGCGCATGACAAGGCTCTGCACTTCTCGAGCAGCTGACTTGAAGCAGGCGAGCTGCCAGTGGGTGGCTGGCAGTAGCCTAGCCTCCTTTTCCGTTGCACCACCGCATCCCTCCACCCAACACTCACCACCCATCCGGATCTGGCCCGCAAATGGCATTCCGGGCCAACTGGCCCTCAAAAGTAGGCAACACTTTGCATATTTTTCCAGCTTCCATTCAATTATTATGCTAAGTGGGCAACTCATTAGGCAGTCATTTGTTTTTCATTTTTTTTCCAATGCATTTTCAAATGGAATTTCAATTTCAGTTCGGCAATCGATAAATCGAAGTACAAATTCCACCTGCCTGGCCAGGTCCTACCTTAATGCTTTTAATTCTTTTCTCTGAAACTCTATAACGCACTTAACTTGTTATGTGGCCGGGCTGTATATTGTTTCTCTTCTTTTTTTTGCTGTGCTGGGAAAATGAATTTTGCGGTACGCCGCGTAATTATTTTATGCCCCCGCAAAACAAAGAGCTCTGCCAGCCAACAGCATAATATATCAAGCGTTGAGCAAGGCCCACTGGCAGCCATAACGATATCCGAGCATCGAGGTTCGAGGTCTGGAGCTCCTTCCTCCGAGAACTCCCGCTTTCCGTGCTCCATGACCATTATTATTTATGCGTATGCATAGGATTCCGGGCTATATGGCTGACTGGGTGGGTGACTGGCTCTTTGGCCGGCTATTTTATGAGGGGCTGTCGTGTGAGTTTTATTTAGTGACCTGCGAGTGAAACGCCTGCCATAATCGGTTGCCAGTAAGTGGGGAATTTAATATAGAGTCGGGCAGTATTTTATGCCAGTTTGGTTCTAGAGGTTTTAAATTTTCTTAAATAAGAATATTTTATGTGTAATTTACCGCTTTGTAAAAATACTAGTTTATTATCCTTTAATTTCACTTACTAAGTTCATTTAGTTTTTGTAATATTTTCATAATATGATTAAAAGGCAACAAAATAACTAGAAAAATATTGAATTTAATTAAGCTCTAGTTGGGATAACTACTTAAATACCATTCCACTAACAAATTCTTGAAATATTTAAGCCAAAACGCACTTAAACCCGCTCCTGCCAGGGCCGGCATGTGCCAATCCCCGTAATACATCTAGATCTCTCCCCTAAAACCTCTCTCTAGCCGCCGGCTTAGGCTGCTAATTAAAATTCAGCCATTGGCATCGTTTTGCATAGTTTCTAATTTCCCCCCACCCAGAGAGGAGGGGCACGACAAGAGAAGAGTGGGTCTAGAGGGCCTAGAGAAGAGGGCGAGCCAAACAACATGAATATTTGAATATGGATTGGTGTGGTCTGGCATACTGAGTAGCAACGCTAAGCTTCGGTCATCCGGAGGGGTTAAAGGCGTCGGGTAGATTGGCCCTAAGAAGGTCTTTAGCTCTAGGGTTTTTGTTTTTATTTTATTTTTTTTTTCTCTGAGAAGGCTCACACACTCACCCTTACCCCCTGCTCCTCCTGAGCGTATTTCTTGATTTCGCGCTCCAAATCAAGCTGTATGGTTGTTGTTTCCATTTTTGTTGTCGTTGTTGTTGTTGTTGGGTTCACCAGAAGTGAGAAGGTTGAGTTTTCGCATAAGTTTCTTAAATTTTCCTTACATATATTATACATGAGTCTAAGTGTGTATGTGTCAGTGTGTGTATAGCGTGTGTAAGCCAAAAGTTTGGAGCATCAAGCAGACAAAGTGGCGTCGGTTAAATGGCCATAAGAAGTAGACAATAAAACGAGGAATATCTTCTCGTAAAAAGTGTACATTTCAGCCCCAAAAATACATGGCCCAGGATACATGGAGATACAGAGAGATGATGCGTGCCGAGCCTTTGGCTTATGTAAGAGTGCCAAAAGTCAGAGGGAAAACTTGATTCGAACCCGATTCGGGCCAACTACTAAACAAGATGAATTATTGAAACTTTTCCTCCTTTTTCTGCTCCTGCCTTTTTTTTCCGCCCAACTAGAACACAGAGGAAGTGTGCAAAAGTGGTAGGCTTTTTGCAGCTTTTCCAGCAGTTTGCAATAAATAGAAACTGCAACGAAAATACTCGTAGGATATGTAAAACGCACTGACCTCGAAAGGACTGCCGCAGCCGATTGCTCTCTTTTCCGGCCCAGCCAACGCGGCGTATACGCAACAACTTTTAATTGCTAGCCGGGAAAACCAGTCGAAATTCGTGCTCTTTCAGTTTGTGGGTGGTATTCTTTTTTTAGGCTTGATTTTTTTTTGTTTTCTGTTGGTTTTGTTGGATGATTTTTAATTACTGGTGTTGCGGGCCGTGTAGCTCTGAGCCACATTTCCTTTCCGGCCATTTGTTTGTTTTTATATCAGCGACAAATTAATTTTGAACCATCATGCCAATCGCCGTTCGAGGCAGTTCAATTGGCGAAATATAATAAAGACTTGCTGCCACCCACCCGCTGGCACGAAAATTGTACAAAGCTTAACCCAAAAAATAAAATGAGAAAATCCAGTGGGTGTAGAGCCAAAAAAAAAAATAGTATTTGAATGCTTATTGTGCTCGACCGTTTCGAAGAGAAAAAGAATCGGTGACCGAATAAAGGATGCCGAGCTTATGCAAATGGTTTTAACGCTCCGGGGTCTCTGTGCAATTGAGATAAAATATGAAGTTTTAAATTCAGTCAAGGATAGAGGCAGTGGCTTCTCGGAGCGGCCTTCCATGACTAATATCTGGCACTTTAGTTGACATTTTTTATGGCCATTCATTGATAAATGTATGCATGGCGCACATGCAAAATGAATTCTAAATCCTGAATTCAAGGCAGTGATTGGTTTAAGTTACATATATTTCAGTTGAAAAGTAAGTCTTCTTTAAAGTACTTCTTGAATCTTAACAAGCAAAGCCTGATAATAATCATATTTTCTTGACAACCCTGGATAATTCCCCATGGTCCGGCATTGGGTCTCCAATCGCTGTTGGCCTTTTCTCTGGCCAGAGACTGTGTTGTCCTTAAATAGAATTCGTTTTTCTGTATCAAGGTTATTTATGCTGCCCACTGGGAATATTCCCATCTGTCTGACCATGCTCTGCAAATGGTTCTGCCTTTTTGTTTTCTGCTTTTCTCCCCATTTTGTATTTTCTATTTTGCTGTTTGCTTGGCTTGGCTAGCTTTTGTTCTGTTTGTGCTTAATATTACGCATACGCCGTGTGGGTCTGTGTGGGAGTATAGCTTAAGGCAAACATGTAATTAAAGAGTGAGGGCCAGAGGAGAGAACTGAATGGGTAAGGATAGAGTTTTGGATCGGTAATAAGTAGTTGGTCGGTTTGTTTCGTCCTTGGGGAGGTCGGTTAGTAGAAATTTAAGTTGCAGTTGCAGCAACAGCAGCAAACTCTAGACCCCGACACATAATATGGCAGGCCATTTCAGATTGATTTCCCCAGTGGCGGCACTTTATATCTTCACCCCGTTGCCTTCTTCCACTGAGAAGGCGATAAATAATGAAATGCAACAATGAGCAGGAAAATGCACTGCGCACAGCAAGAAAATGTCCCCAAAAAAAAGGGCATTCTTTTCAGAAGAGAGTACTATTTCTGGATCATTTTTTTAGCATTATGAATATTGGATGGGAATATTTAAGTAGCAAGGATATAGATACTTATTTTTTTGTGTGCAATGCATTACTGGCTGCTCAAATGGGGCAACGAAGATGCATATCCATTATGTCGCCGAAAACTGTGCAACAAAATCGAGATTTTATTGCTTGGCCCATATTGAGGGCCGAACAATGAAATGACTAAGCTGCTGGTCTGACAGTGAGTGTGTGTCTGCGTGTGTCTGGGTGTGTTTAAGAGCGTATATGTATGTATGTATGTGTGTGGGTGTGTTTTATGTAGTGCTGTAGTGCACTGCACTTAATGTTAATTTGAACGACGTTCATTGATGTCGACTGCTCCTCCACACTGTCCTCATTCTCGACGGCACAAAGTTGCAAATTAATTAAGCGACAACGGCAACAGGAACAAAACAGCAACAAAAAAAGGATAAAACACAAAACATATATATGCAAAACATGTAACAAAACTGAATGAAACTTGTCAAAAGGGATGTGAGTTGTGTGTTGGTCTGTGTGGGAAATGAAAAATCAACAGTGAGTGTGAAAACACTACGGACCAAACTCAAGCTTCAGTTGGCATATAAAAGCGAACATATTCTAGGCTCTACATGTTTTCTTTTTCTGACTAGATTGTAACAGATATAGCGTTATGTATATATATAGTTTTTTTCTGTGTATTTTTAATGTATATTTGTGTGTGTTTTTAGGCTGAGTATATAAAGGCTTTTGTGTACAAGTATGGGTATATAAAAAAAAAAAGAAAAGTTGTTACAGTTCTGATGCTGCATCAAATGTTTCGAACTCAAGATGCAGAAAAAAGTGTTTCTCGTGTTGGTTATCGTGTGTTCAGCGAGAAAAAGGACAGGCCGGAGCAACAGAGACCGGAGCGTAGAGGGGAGAATTCTATCACTTTCTCCAATTCTCTGTTGCCCCCCACCTGCCCGTGTACGAAATCATTCTCTAGAGCATTGTTTGCCGAACGAAAGAAAATTAGAGATAGTTTGAGAAGTAGAGAGAGAGAGAGAGAGAATGGTACAGAGTCAGGGGAAAGGGAGCGAGTCAGGGGTTCGACCTCGTCCCTTTTTTTTTGTTATCCTTCGGTCAAATTTTTTTTTGGGGGCCAAAGGATCAAAAGCAAAGTCTTACCTGTTTCTGGGCCATTGCTTGCATTTGTTGGAACATCTGGCGCTCCTCCTCTTTGCCTTTAAAAGTTAAAATCCAAGTTAGTTAGAGTATCCTTAAAGGATAATGAGATATCCTTACCCATGCCCTTGGCTTGCAGCATTTCCAGTAGCTTCTTGATGCTCTCATCGCGGGCAATTAGCGTCTGCTTTTGGGTCTCCACACGGCACTCCAGATCCTTGATCGTCTCCCGCAGGATACTGATCTCCCGCTGCAGGTGGTCGTTCTCAGCATAGATGGCCTCCATTTGCTGCTGCATCTCCAGGTTAGGTTGCCGCATTCGCAGGCGCAGCTCCTCCTCCAGCTGACGCACTAACATGGCTTGTTTCTGGAAAGGATTTAAAAGGATTTAGTTGGTTCTTAGGGATTATGATGTCCTAGAAACTCACCTGATTCTCCGTGCTGAGCAACTTCAACTGATCATTGATCAGACTGTACTTGGCACTCTCCTCTTTCCTGAGAGCCCGCTCCTTTTTCAGCTCCGGCGACCAGAAGGTCTTGATGCTGTGCATCGAACTGCCCAGCTTCTGGTTGGTTAGCTCCAGCTCCCGCTTGAGGTTGCCCAGCTCCCGCTGCAGATCGGTGTTCTGGTGCTGCAGATCGCCCAAGTACGCTCGATCCGAGGTGGGACCCATGCCCGTATTATAGCCACCCATGGCGCTGGGACTCTGGCGCGCCGATCTGCCATAAAGCTCATCCTCTAGGTACAGGCCCCGTTCGAGGGATCTGTCGCGGGAGCGATCGCGTGGCTCCCGAATGGGTATGAACTCGCGATCATGGGGATCGACGAGTCCGCCGCGATCCAGCGATTGGTAGCGGGTTCCTAAGGATATTCAAAAAGTGGTTAGTTCAGAGTTATCTTCTAATGTGAAAATAAAAATGTTCTATTTGACTTGTGTGGTCATTACTTGGATAGTCCATGGCATGGGCCATCGGTGGTCTGCTGGCACTCCGACTGCGATGGTGACCCGCTCCGGCCGGACTTGTTGGCTCATCCATGTCGCGGTAGTATGGACTGCCCATTGCTGAAATTCACACACACACAGAATTCATGAGGATGACCAAATGAGTGGATGAGACGGACGGTTGGGGTGGTAGGTGGGTGGATAGTGGCTTGGTGGTTTTTATCTCTGGTGGTGGAGGTGGTGGTTCAGGTGGTTGTTTCGTGTTTTCGTTTCGGAGGCACCTCATCCGACGGCCACCAGAACAGAAAAAAACGAATCCGAAAAAACACAAACAGAAAACGCCAAACGGAAAAGTAAGAAATTAAAGTGTATCTAAGGTGGCATCTAGTGCAGTGGAGGATCTGCCTTATTTTCTTAAATTATTCAGTTTCATTATCTTATTTTTGGAGAGTTTTTTTTTGCGGGCTTGGTTAGTGGCAAGAAACGCAGGTAAGTTTCAAAAAATAAAGAAAAAAGAAAAGAAAAATGGAAAAAAGTCAACAAACGAAGGCACGGGAAAATGTTTGTCGTGTTCAGGCTTTGGTTTGGTGTTTCAACTTCCTTTCCCCCTCTAGAACCAACAGATCCCCTCGCCCCCCCCACCGCCCCCCTTGACAAAACACAAAGAGTGCCTCATAAAGTAGCTGCTACATTGTGCGGCAAGGCTCTGCCAGTGCTCTGTGTGTGTCCTGGCGCTCTCATATTTCAGAGCCTGTTCAGACTGCTGTGTTTGCTGTGGTTCGCCCACACCTCGTCCTAGCCGCGTCCTTTCTGCAACCATCTACCACCTTTGGAGGGCCATAAACTAAGTTTGTGCCAGCACGAAATCATTTTGCACGTCGAGTGCACGAAACTGAATTTGTGGTTAGTCCTGCAAACGTTCGTTCGTTCGTCCTTGTTCGTTATTCGTCAGCGGTAGTGGCAGCGAACGGCTCATAAATGGTTTATTTTGCCCCCTGAATGGCGGCCAAATGCTAATTAGCCGCGAGCTTCGGGCTTCATGAGTTGGTAATTAAGTGTTGACCCCGTTGAAGTGCAAAACAGTTTAGCTAACCATAATTGTAATCCAGTTTGAGGCTTTGATATCAAGCTATGCGCCCCGGCAAAGTAAGTTCAGTTTATGGGTTGAATCTTCTCTTTCTTTGGATCTCCTTTAGCGACAGCTGTTGGCCATTTTCCTGTCAGTCCTGTCAGTTGGTTATCCTGGATGTCCTACCCGGTCTACTAATGCAATTTTCCAGCAACTGTTGCGTAGGCGGATGGAAATGCCAATTCAATTCAATTTCCATTTTCCCCCCACAAGAGGGAGAATTCAATTTGCATGTGTTTGTGGGTGTTTGGAGTTTGTTTTTTTTTTAGTTAGTGTGGTGTGGTGGGTTAATTGAAATGAAAATCGGTAGATATATATATTCGCAAGATGAGTGAAGCGAAACGTATTATACGATAAATAAATGAAAATCGAAACGAATCGAATCGAAGTGAAATGAAATGAAATCAAATTTATGTACCATGCGCATGCGTGTGATGTTAGACAGAAATAATAGAGTTTAGTTAGAAATTGCATTAGTTTGAGTCGACTACAAATAGTACAAAATGAAAATGGTTAGTTATGGTTAGCGAATATAATTAGAGAGCTAGCGAGCGATATATATATATATATTGTACAAAAAATCTCTCACAAAACACAAAAGAATTATGAAATTTTGGATAATGAATTTAGCACGATACCATGTTGCATTGCCATCGCAGCATGCAACACAGCGGGGTTAGTAGTTCGTTAAGGATTACGAAATCAGGATTAAAGCTTTGCCAATTGACCAATGAAATAATGATGTTTTGGATTTCTTGAAATCATGGTTCGCCAAGCTCTCGCACAAACGTCAGTGCATACTGTGACATATTCTTTATTTTTTTTTCTGGATTTCTTGATTTAGTTTTCAGTATTGAGTGCTTTTGGACTACGTTTGTGCTTGGATTGCCTGGACTAGGTCCGGATATATATATAAGATTTCTGATAGGATTTTTGTGGTGGAGGAGTCATTCACCTAAAGGACTTCCGCGTGCGCCGTAGTCCCGGGATGGGGATCGATCGACCGTCGGCAATTCCTGGAGCCGCCGCACGCGACCCGGACTGCGCACACCAGAGCTAGTTACTGGATTATATTCGTCACGTGACATAATCCGCGGCTCATCCGCGGCATGCAATCACCAGCCAATAAAATGAGTCCCCGAGTCTGACTGAGATAATTTTTGGTTTAGTGACGAATGTCTCGTGAGTCCGGTGTTCGCTTAAATGCAACGTTCAACTTTGATTCTTGGTTCTCAGTGTTGGCTTCTTCGGTTGATATGCACACGGTTTTGATTGATTGATTGACTCATAGATTGATTGATTGATCTATTAACGACTTAAACTCTTTCTTTCTTTTCGGCATCTGCAAGTGGAAGAAGTGAAAAGAGAACAAAAAACATACACACAATAGTACACATCACGTTGTGATACATATTCTTCATAAAAACAATATATTACATTACGCATACGCCCCGCTGTACACTGCTAGCTATAATACGTTTTTATTTTTTTCTAGAATTTTTAGCATTTTAGCATCCCAAGCATTCAACGGTTTCCTTTTTTGCATTTAAATTGGCTCTAGCTCTTGCATATCCTTAACCTTTTTACCTAAATCTCAGCCAGAAGCAAACCCGGCCATAAGCGCATAAACAAATACCATAAACAGTCTCAAAGTGCGGGTGGTTTCCGGGTGGCGGGTTGGTAGCGATGATAAAGAAGCAACAGAGAAAGCGGAATACATCTTTCAAAGCATTGCATTATGGCGGGTCTATGCAAATTCGTGGGGTATTCTCGGTAGACGGGCAACAAATCGCATGCAAATTGCCACTTGAGCGGCTGCTTCACGTCTAAAAAGAAAAGTCACCCACGGAGGCTGACAGTCGAAGGAGGAGTTTATGCGGCTTATTTTTCAGAGAACTTGGTCTAGGTCTTCTAAGAGAAAATTTGGTAACTGAATAATAAACTAAAGAACTCTTTTCAAAGGAAAGTCTTTCTTAAAAATTGCTAACTTTTAAGACCTTATGGAAGACTCGGAACATTTCTATGAATGTCATGAATTGCAAATTGGCATTAGTCCTGCCGCATAAACAATAAGCCGGAAAAGGGAACGATGACAAGCGCAGTGTTGATGCCGTGTGAATGGGCCAAGAGTGCGGATATCAACAGCAGCTGCGTCTGCAACTGCAACTGCAACTAGAACTGCACATGCCACTGCCACTGCAGCGGTTCAAATGAAAACTAAACGAATCAGCAAGCCGGAAGCCTATTCACAACCACAAGAAGGATGTCTCCCGTTGAGCCTGCGACAAACACAAAAAAAAAAGAAAATGTAGGAAAACGAAAAAAAAAAAAAGGATAAAGGAAACGCCAGCAGATGAGGTCAGGATATGGCAGACGGGCCATAAAATATCTGGCCGAGATTCGATTACATCGCCATGCCATTAAAGGAGCCCCAAGCAGTGCACTTTGCTAAGCAAACAGGGTGGTTGGCTGGGGGATGGCTGGGAGATGGCTAGGACGAGGAAACCCGGATAGATTGCACTTTGAGCCTGCATACTTAAGGGACCAGGAGCTGGATAAACGGGACCGTGTACGATTGTTGTCCGGGTCTTATCGCAGACCGACCGCCTTCGGGGGCCTCCACACCCCAAAACAAACATGTTGAATAGCCCCCGAAGCACAAGAAAAAAAATAGGGAAATGTTAGAGAATGTGTCGCCGTGTCTCTGGTGGAGAAAAGTGAGCCTAGTCTCTGGTCTCCGGTGAGAGAAAGCCGGAGAGAGAACTCACCATAGAGGGGCCTGTGCGCAAATGCGTTGTCACCGCTCCAAGTTCCCTAACCGCCTCGTTGTGCTCACAACAATAGCGTCATCGTAAAATATTTTGCCGTATTTTGTTGTTACCATTGGCACGATGTATGGATTGGCGGCGTTTTCTTTTCTTCCAAGAGTCACTCACACACATAAACACATACATACATAGGCATACTCTGGGCCACATGTAAAATAAGGTTAAAATTTGAAATCAATAAAAGTTATTCGACTGATCTAAAATTAGAGCAGGCAACTCAAATAACAACCGAAAGAAATAAATAATAAAGGCAAACACCGCAGCATTGACACGCAAGGGGGTGGTCCCAAAAGTGGGTGGTTACCCCCCTCCCATACCACCCTATACCAATAATAAAAGAAAAAAAAAACGAACCCAACTGAGACTGACAAATCATGCGAGCAAATCGAAGTCTAAGCCAGGTTCTTCAGTGCGTTTGGAAATCCGGCAATTTACCCATCCACATATCTAATTATAAGTTTTCAAATTGCTTGCCAATCGGAATGATTGATTGACCGACTGACTGGCTGGCTGACTGAAGCACAACGGGGCGTATGGGTAATGCATAAATATTCTAAGCTACATTTTAAGGCTACTGTTTGGGACTCGAACTAAGGCTATAATGGGGGAGCTTCGCAAGGATAAATGGCAATAATCTACGGCTTGGCCGCCGAAATGTTGGAAGTAAATTACAACAGATACGGGTTTACGGATACGGATACGGTTACGATTACGGCTACGTTTAGGAGAGAACAAAGCCAAAAAGTTAATGCATACGACAGGCACAAGTAGACAGAAAAAAAAAATAACACGAATCAGATTACTCATAATTATGGGAGGTCCTGTTACACAAGGCATACGCACAAATCAGAAATCAATATCGCTTACGGTTCACATCACAAATTGAAGTTGGGTTTTCACATATATTTTTGTATATGTGTTTGTGTGTGTGTGTCTTTGTATTAGTGTGTGGATATTACGTATACGAGTGTGTGAGTGTGTAAAAGTTGATGTGGTTAAGTAGCTCACCCGCTTTGCTTAGACGATGAATTTTGAATGATTTTCGTTTACGAACTGCGGGAAAATGAAATTTTCTAATCTATCTTTCCTATCTCCGCCTCAGCCTTCTCCTTCCTCCGTCCTCGTCTCCGTCTCCTTCTCCTCCTCCGGATCCTGCTCCGGCTCCGGCTGTTCCACCGGTTCTTGCACCTCGTCTCCTCCTATTCTTGACTTCCGTTTCCGGTTTTCAGAGCCGCAACAATTTGCTCGGCTCACTGACACACACGCACTCGCACACGGACCAGGATCACGCTGCAACTACATGTGTGTTTTTAATGTGAGGTGGTGGGGGGACAAGGGGGCTTGCGATTTGTTGCTTTCGGCTTTTATGGCTTTTAATATTATATCGTGTTGTTGTTGTTAGTGTTGTATTTGGTTTTGGTTTTAGTTTTGTTTTTGCTTTTGGGTGTTGTTGTCAGGCGGCGTCGGTGTCGGCGGCGTTGTCGGCTCAATGGGCATTTCCGGTTCCGGAAGGTGGCGGCTATTCCTTCGCTCGGCTGCTTCGCTTAGCTGCTTGCACTAATTTAGTTTGATGACACTGGCTTAGTTAGTTTGTTGACTTTCGTGGGCTGTCGCTGGCTAATTGCATTTTGCAAGTGTCTGTTTTTTTTAGTTGTTGTTGTTTAAACGGGTTTTGTTTGTATGTACATGGCTGTGTGGAAAGGATAATGAAACCGCATGAGTGGAAGAACAACTCCTTTTTTTTTCTGCGTTAAACTAATTAAAGTATTCATTCAGGATTTCGGATTTTAAGTGCTTTTGGTGGCTTCGTGCCCAACGAGAATTTTTTAGGAGTTTGCTCCGGAGAGGGAGCAGTGGGGAGCAGAAAAAAAAAAAAAACCACTGACACACATTCGACGCACGAAGCTCTCACCCACAGGCCAACACACAGACACACATACAGATGCAGAGAGTAGATAGGGAGTTTAAGAGTGCTCCGCAGATTGGAGTGGAGAGCTGGCTACGCACGAGTTACGCTCACGAGGAACGTAATGTTCGACGTAACGAAGCATGGTCGGGGAATGGGGAATGGGACATGGGGAGCGGGGTGAGGCGAGGTTTTGTGGGTGGTTGGGCGGTTGAACGGTTGGGTGGTGTTTGGGTGGTTTTGTACAACATTATGCTGGCACCACCTTCTGCCACTTCATTCGCTCGGCCCTAGGCTCTGTTATACAGCTTATAGCTTTTCAAACTTAATGTCTCTCTGTAGGCGAATGCGTCTGTGTGTGAGGGGGAGTATCTGTATGTGTGTGTCTTTGGGAGTGGGTGTATATCTCGTATGGCTTATATGTAGGTTGAAGCAATTTATAATAATTTTTCCTTTTTTTTTTTTTGTCTCTCCCCTTACAACCCACAATCGATATGCAGCGTTTAGTGGGCCAGATACGGATTACTCCTTCCTCTATGAGAGTATTTGTAGGCCCAATACACACACACACATATACATATATAGTGGGGTATATGAAATCCCATTTTAGCTGTTCCTCGATTCCATCACTTGTATTTCAGTATTTTGCGGCATTTCTTTTTCACACGAAACTATATATTCTTTTTGCACATTTTGCAGGAAATCACTTTTCTGTATCCAGGGAGCAGCCTCTGGCGCTATTGCTTCTATACACGCACACACTCACACTCGCACCCGCATATAACCAGCTCGCATATCGATACACACACATGGACAGAGCCATTATAACGGGAAATTGTCTATTTAATAGTTCTTGGCTTTGTCAGTTCTACGCGCTGTATTTCACATTTTTCTTTTTTGCTCCGTTACGACTGCGAATGCAATTAAGTTGAATTTTTCTTGGCCTTATACATTTCTCGGCCAGATACATATACCGCGTGCGTGAGTGTGTGTGTATGTGAGTGTGTCAGTGTGAGGGAATGCGATGGTGTGTATGTTCCTAACCCAAAAATGTATTGTGCGGCAGCTGAGGTGGCCCGTTTTCGGCAACGCCGTTGTCCAACTAACTACCCTCAAAGAACTGAGCGCCGCTCGTCCGTGCCAGTCGCTGTTATAGTGGCACTGCCAGTGGTGAGTTTCCACTCTCCACACTACACCCCCCCCGCCCAACCACCCACCGCCGCAGCTCTATCCTTGCGCGAGAGAGAGTGAGTGAGTGGGCGATTGCAATCAATGAATTTTCCTTTTTTGGCGCTCGCGCAGTTCGCCGAGTGCTGGCATTTTCGGTGCGAACGGCAAGCCTAATGGATTCCGGAATTCCAATACCAAAATATGGAGCCAGCACATTGCGTTACGCTTGCCGAAAAGGCCCTTACGTCTTCCGCCGGATATTCTGCGTTGGCAATGCTGCCCGCGAATTGTTTGAAATGCCCGCAAAGGTATGCTATGTTTTTTTTCAGATTCATAGGTTGTTTATATTTTCTTCTTTGGAACACAATGCTGCTTTCAAAGGATGAGAAATCAACACGTAGATGTCCTGGCACATGATTCAACCTTTTTCCTCACTTTTTAGCAAAAATCTCAGCCATTTTGCAACTGATTTCGGAAAGGAGTAGCATTTATTATTAAGAACACCAAACCCCCTCGTTGTACACCAAAAGACAAAGAAAATCAAGAAAAAAAAATAATGCCCAATTTTTGGATAAAATCACAATGTTACCCCTATGAAAAAATGAAAAAATTGGGTCAAAAAATTGTTTGCCGGAATTTAATTGAATATGATTCTACTCGAAGATACAAGATGGGGAAGGCATAACATTTTTAACTCAGCCAATTATTAGCCAAGTTATGGTAATTTTTGTTAAAAAAAAGTAAAAAATTGATGCAAAAATTTTCATACTTTTTATTTGGCGAAAATATGAGCTTTTCATACAGTTTAAATCAAATATTTAAACTATTTCGAAGAGTATTTCAAAACGGAATAGAATTTTTAAATTGGGACTTTAATCCCCGTCGAATCCCATCAAAATATCGTAAAAATAGATCAATTAAATTTTTGACCAATTTTTGCCCAACATTATGATGTTACCCCTTAGAAAAAATGCTAAAAATGGGTAAAAAATTGCATTGTGAAATTTTGATTGAGATAGATGCTACTCAAAGAAACAAAATCTGGAAGGTACGACATTTTTGAATCTGACGGGTATTAGCCAAGTTAGAGACATTTTTCTGTAACTAAAAGTGAACAAATTCGCATATATAGTTTTTTATATAATTTATTTGGCCAAAATTTTAACTTTTTATGTAGTTTTTAGTGAATATTTTAAGTAATTCGCAGCCGATCTTAAAATGGCATACCATTTATAAATCAGGACTCTAATTTCCTTCGATCTGCATAAAAAAATTGTGCAAATCAAACAATAAAAATTTTGTCCCATATTTTGGCAAAATCATAAAGGGACCCTTTTGAAAAATTTTGAAAAATGGGTCAAAATTTTTTAGACACATTTTAGTAAATATTTTGGCTATTTCCTAACCAATTCAAAAACGGAACACCATTTATGAATCAGGGCTCTTTTATCCTTTGATCTGCATCAAAATTTTCACCAAATTCATCAATTAAATTTTCTGCTAATTTTTGGCTAAAATTATGATGTTACCCCTTTCAAAAAATTTCGAAAAATGGGTCAAAATTTTTGCTGCCAGGATTTGATTGATAGTTATTCTACTCGAAGAAACAAGAGCGGGAAGGTATAGCACTTGTCATTTGGATAAGAATTAGCCTAGTTATGGGCTAATGGAATATCATTCAAATTGAAAATAGTATTTTATTTCTTGTTTATTAATTTTAGAATTTATTTAATAGTTTTTAAGATAGTTGTTGTATTTTGTTTTGAAAATAGTGTACAGGGTTAACTGGTTACTTCCTAGTGTGGAATGTGTCTGCCTTGAGGGCTGTGGTGTGTCTGTTGTGAGTGTAATACATTTCTCATAATACTTAATAAACGCATTTCCTATGACTCTAATAGCTCTAATACTAGCAGTGTTCCGGCTTGGCGTGGCTACTCCTCCTCCTACTCCTACTCTGGGAACTTGGATCTATTTACAGGTGAACTCCTCGTAGCTCTCGTCGCACTCATCGCACTTCACTTCGCAGCACCATCGGAACTGGCAGCGGCATTGCTTCGTCACCCGGATGTGCTGCGTGTTGTGGCCACGCCCACAGCAGAGAAGGTCACAGCTCTGTGGGCCGTGGCCACCGTGCTGGCAGATCCTTCCGGCGGTGCCCTGGCTGCCCGCCTGCAGGCTACGTTCACAGTAATTGGGTGACGCCTCCAGATAGATCAGCTCCATCCGCTTTGGCCAATGGAGCACCGGTTTCGCAGCACGAGCTACTCCAGGGTGCTTCTTTCTAGAAGCGTATTATGAGATTGGATTAAAGGACTTGTCAATTAAGTTGATATTTATGCATTCCTTACCTGCTTATTACTAATCTCAGTCCACGTTTGCCTTTGACGGCTTGAACAGTTTTGGCTTTTTGATATTTTTGCATAAGCTTGTCGCCGATCAGGCGGAAAGGCGGCAGGCTCTTCCAGCAGGTTTTCATCACACAGGATCCACTCACCCCATGGCACTTGCAGTCTGTGCGAAGCATTTTCTTAACCAACTGGAAATAAAACTTATTTTAAACGCCTAAATGAGGATATAACACATACGCACCGTTCTCCCTGCTCTGTTGTTGTGTATATTCATTAGCGTTCTCGAATCGCGCTCTAGTTCGCGGGCATCCATGAATCTTCTCGCATATCGCATTCCAAAATCCACATCTGCCGAGCAACCGCCCCACTTCCAGGGTTCTTCTGCGGCCCCCTCGGCTGCGGGAGCAGTCTTGTGCCGCACATCGCAGCCGCAGGTGGAGATGTTGCCACGGGCACAGGCGGCAGTTACCGCATATGCCGCCCCGGCACTGGCTATCGCATAGGTGTAGGCTGCCTCACGTGAAGCTGTAAGGATGATAATTTATAAAAATCTCACATAAATTTAAAATTATTTATGCTTCTATTATTACTTTATTTTATGACTATCAAAAATAAACATAAATTAAGTCAACGATGTACACTCACCTGTGGGTATAACATGAGCAAACACATTACGCTGCCACACCTCCGAACAGTTCCAGCGGTGGCCCCGGAACTGGTGCTGGCACTCCTGGGCGCCCAGCTGGTGGCCCTCGCCCAGGGCGATCAGAGCATCGGGCATCTCGCCGCACATATGGCGCTGGGCCGGGGTCAGGCCCGGTATCCGGGCGCAGAGCATGGCGGATGTAAAGCTGGACACTAATCTGACAAGAAGGCAAATACAAACAGAACCATAAATAAAAGCCTGTGTCGACTGTAGACTGTAGACTGTAGAGTCTAGAGCAATGGAGCGACAATAAATAAATAAACGAATAAATGACAAAACAAACAGGCGGCGATCGATCGATCGATTGATCCAGACTCGGATCGATCGCAATGGCTCGATTGGCAATGGCTGAAAAGTCGTGCACAGCAAATGCCGCCGGCTCTTTTTGCCGGCTGCTCGAATGCATTTCCATTGGAGGCTGGGGCTTCAGCTTGGAGCTGGCAGCTTCAAGATTCGAGCTCCACGGCTCCAGATCTGAGCCAATCGAAGACAAAAGTCTAGCCAAGATTAATGCGAGGCAGTGGTTTGATGCACAAATAAAAACTAGGGCTTTCATTTAAATATATATTTTAATTCAGGCGATTTAAGCTTCTATTATAAAATATGATTAAGCCTTTTAATATTTAAATTCAGACATTAATAGCTAATAGTTTAACCATTTTTTTCGCTGTGCATCAATGGCAGGTGGCTGTGGGCTTGGGCGTTATACTGTCAGTTTTAGTCAAATCCCAGCCCCCAGCTGTATTATTAGCCATAATTACACGGAGATGCAGATGGAGCAGCTCGGCCATCCGTCGTGACTCGCTGGAGTGTCTAATCAAGTCAGGCCAGCGTTTAGTTCACTCGGGTGAGTTGAGTTGTCGAGTTAAATGGCGAAATTAATGCTAACAGTCAAAAATGCCAAATGGGATTAATGAGTTTTGACAATGAGTTGCAAATTGCCAATTTTCGGAAACCTCTCTCTCTCTCTCTCTTTATATGGCCTTTTCTGTGGAAGTACCACCCACTGGCCGGTTGCCCACCCACTCCCGAGACGTGTCGGTTGTCTAACCTGTCGATTTCAGTTGGCAAACCAATCAGCATCAAAACAGCTGCACCGGCAATAATCATTCGATCGCCTGCTCGCCTTTTGTCCGGAGTTTAAGCTACAATTTTATTTTATTTTTTATTTTTTTTTTGTTAAAGGAAAGAGAAGAGATCCCTGGGGCCAAACAACTGACGACGCACGGGTGGGCAACTCCAACTCCAACGTAAACTCCAAATGCCATGTAAAGTTTAAAAAGCAAGCCACTGGGCTACACTGAGCCTTCGAACTATACAAAACTTCAAGAGCTATAAAACTATAGATCGAGAGATCTTTATAGATTTCTCTCTGTGCCTAAACAGATGTAAACTGCTTTCGAGTGTCTCCTGGTTCAGTATCCCCCATCTCCAAACTCCAGTTTGTGAGCCACTCTTAAATGCAGCAATTAAATCAATTTACAGAAATTACACATTTTACCAACCGCAGAGGAGGTGCACGAAGACATGAGCTTTATGGTGAACCCTCCTTGGTACGTTGATTTTCGATTGCTGATACGGGATCGCTGTCGATGTTGCTGGTTTGTTGAACACGCTGTTAACATGGACCGATCGGCCGACGATCGACGGCGAAATTGGTGGTAAAACTAATAATTAGGCTCGTTTAACAGGCCCGAACTGAAGGTATGGAATGGGATGGGACGGGACGGATGCGGTCGCAATCGCGGTAAACCTTCAACTTTGGAGTTGGCCCGAAATACGCGCTCGATCGATCTGTCAGCGCATCCGCTCCAGCAGACAGTCAGTCAGTCAGTCATTCAGTCATTTAGTAATTCAGTCAATAGCTTTTACGTGCGTTCGCCCAGCGTGACCGTCGTTTCGGCCCCTCCCGGCCCTTCATCGCTTAACCCGCCGGCTACTCCAATACCCAACCGGCAATCAAGGCAGTCATCTCTCCATCTCCTCGCAACCCTTTTGTTTTTGAGCTGCTTTATTTAATTTGTCGCTTGCCCCGTACCTCTGCCACTCGGCCTGTATGCCTGTTGCATGTCAGCAACGACAATTTCATCATCAACATCATCATCGCCATTACCAGAACAGATTTAAGTACTAAACCTAAATAGAGAGAGAAATCAGTGAGCCCAAAATAGGTTTAAATATTACCTGCAAGTTCTGAAACCTCTGCCTTAAACCTGATTTCTTTCAGTGCCCTCATTCCAATCCTTGTCATGATCTTGAGCCTCTTGAACACTCCGAGTCACGTGTGCTTGATTTTTGCATTGTTTTGAGTTCCCCCCTGGTTTTGGTCCTTACAGACTGCCAGTTGAGTTTATCTGTTCTTCTATATCGGGGTTGGGTCTGCGTGAGAGCAAGGACCTGTCATGAACTTGATACCATTTCCGCCTCCACCACGGCTACCGCTCTCGTTTCTTGCCATCCTTTCATCCCGAACCAAAATAGAGATGGCATGGCTTTTACAAAATGGGAAACTAGTTCCATTGACAGTCTTATGGCTTCTCCTGTCCGACAAATTGGTGATTCCTCAAGGCACTAATTTGCACAAAAATATTGGCCACGACAACGCGGACTCATTAAAAATGGATTAAGCCAGTCGCATAATTCAACGACAGCCGGGCCACAGCCACTTATGAGTCGAGTGGCAGCAGCAAAAATGCCCAAACCCAATAGCAAAGCTGGCCAAAAGCAAAAGCAGCAAAATGCCACAAAATGCAGCAAGCAATGCCAACTTAATGCGCACTTTGGAGCCTCATAAAAATATGACTTTAATATTTTCACGCGCAGGCGTAGCAGCTCCACAACTGGGAGCTCCGAACTGGCGATCTGGAATCTGCGACTGCCGCATACGCTGTCTCCAGTTGTACATACATATATATTTGCTCGATTCTCGATCCTAGGGCACTGTCATAATTGTGCGAATCTAGTCGACCAAATAGTTTCGACCCACCGCTGCGAAGGCGGTTGTTTTTATTTCCCGGCTCTTTGGCTCTTTGGTTTCTGGTATCTGACCAGTAGCGCCTCCAATAGCAGGCAGATATATATGGCTGGCGCTCCGACTGGTAATTACATGCCTTGCTGACATGTTCATGACTCTCCTGCACCTCCGCTTGAGACCCTACTCTTCCTATCCTTCTGCCTGGTCTGTCCACCATCCTCTGTCCAAGAGCCAAAGCGCCAATTGGAGGCGGAAGCAACAAAGGCGCTTTAATCCAGCGAAAACAATGCGTCGGTCCATGGGGAATGTTCATGGGTTCGCTTGGTTTTTGGGGGCATTTGAAAGGTATATTTTGTGTGTGTGTGTGTGTGTGTGTCTACAGCTGCAGCATGTAAAGTGGGCGGAGCCGAGAGGGAGTGGCAGTGGCGGAGCTGGTGGCCAAGGGGGGAGAGGACCCAACCGAAAGCCCATAAAGGCTGTTCAACATGCCATCAATAAAATACAAATATTCCGAGCTCGGAGCAGAAGGAGAAGGTGGCACTAGAAGGCAGAGATGGAGAAGGAGCAAGCCGCCAGTGGAGCGAGCCGACCATGGTCAGGGCCAAGAAAAATGTCGCTGCCACGCTCAGACAAACGGCCAGCAACAATTGTTGGCCATCCTGGCCACAAAAACGACGACGTAATTGACCAGAGAAAGACATATGTACAGGCACTGTAAGAAAACATATTCCATTTTTTTCATTTTTATGAAAAGACTTTAGAATAAGAGCTCTAGTACTTTAAATAAGAACTTCTCGCAGTGTTTGGGCATTGTGTCCATGTAACAGGTAAAAGCCAAAACGGATCGTTCGTCATGGGCAATTGGCAGAGGCCAAGTGGTCGAATGGCCACTCAGCCAGTTAGCCAGTTGGCCAGTTAGCCAGTTGGACAGTTGGACAGTTGGCCAGTCAGTTTTTGGTCTCTCGATCTCTCGGCTGGGATCTGTGGCTCTCGCCCTTGCCATCACGCCCTGGCAAACAGATCAACGGCAGATAGTTTTGTTTGTGCTTTGAGGTTTTGCAGTCGATCACTCATCCATAGCCACAACCGACCAACAAAAGTGGTAAGAGAAGCAAACAGAGTCAGAGCCACAAAACGGATTCCTCGACCACCGCACCGACGGCTCCCGCACTGGCTGCAGGTTGGCCTGGGAAACTGAGAAACTTGCAACAGGCAACAGGGAAACAGGCAACTTGCAACAGGCAAGAGTTTATGCCATTTTGGGCTTGTAAATGCAGAGACTTGGACAACAACTGGCGCAGAGTGATCTTGATCGCAATTTGAGCGTTTGTCTGCACGTTCATGCGTTCCAATTGTCCATGTAAGAGCTCCATGGAGTGGAGTGGAATGGAGAGAGCCACCTGAGCGGGGCAGGAGTGGCTAAAAGGAGATGCAGCTGGTTTCCTGTTCGAGGCATGCGCTTTAAAATTGCAGTAACCTCAATTACACGAGCTATGCATTTCTGGGTTAAGACCCAGACCCTTTGATGTTTTGTTTTTTTTTGCTTCTTGCTGGTTTTGGTTAAGTTCAGGTTCAGTTTTGGCTTCAGTTCAGCCCACAAGGCCCATCCCACTGCCAGCAGAAGAAGTGGCAGGAGAGAAAGAGATGCAGAAAACGGCCAACTAAAGTCGCGTATCTTAAAGATACACTCAGCTTATTGCAACTGCAACTGCATCAAGGCAATTAGATAGCGCACTCACACAGGCAGACCCACTGATGCAACGTTGATGAGTTTATGGCAAAAATTGATTTCCAGTTGTCGTTGCTACTACCTCCTCCCCCCTGTCATGCCCCATGCCCCCTCCTCCCACTCTTTCAGTCAAGCTGCTCCTAGCTTGATTCGCTGGCAGTACAAATGGCACTAGCCACGATGAGAGACTGCTGTCTTTCTGTCAGTTTTGTGTTTTAGTTGCTGCCTGCCATTTAATTGCCAATTTTAATGAGATTTTTTCCAACTCTATCCACCCCACCACCACTCTGGGGCCAACCAACCGCCAACCATAGAATACCGACCAGAGAGAGATCCGACTACCAGCCAGGAGGCGTTTACTGTTTGGGCGTTCGATAAGGATTTACAATTTACATACATCGCGCCGTGGCTTTGCAGATAAAAATTAGCGATCGTGTCCAGCGATGCGATGCGATACGAAAGAGTTGTCAACTCGTGCAGATCTGTCACAAGATAAAAGGAGAAAAACCGAAAGGAAACCATGGGGGAAATTTTTTAAAATGAAAACTAGAAAGAAGTAGAAGAAAAAAAATCCAAACAAAAGACCCACCGCTGGGGGGCACCGCTCTAGCTCCACATTCAAGACTCAAAATATTCACAGCAGTGGAGAAGGAAAACAAAAAATAACTGTTTGGCCATTAACTCTTTAATGGCATACCATTTATGGGGCTACTATACCTTATTTCCATAATCCAGAGTATGTAGATTAAGAGCTTGTTATGTATTTTCCACATGACGATGCAAATCCGAGGAGAGCCCGTACAGCTGCCACTATCATCATATTCTATTCGCACTAAAAGTCTGAATACCCATTTGGGGTTTTAATTTCTATTCGCTGAGCTTTGCACAAAAATGCCCACCCGGAGTCCAATTTCCAATCCACAGTTGTTTCACTACTTGGGCCTTGGATTTTTTTTTTTTTTACACATAAAACAGTGCCATAGGAAACCCACAGATCGAACCAGAAGGAGCTAATGCCTCTGTTTTGTTATTAATGATCCGAAAAAGCAGACGGCAGCACTTAATACTTCATCGCGAGGAAGGCTAAAACCGATACGACGATCGAACCGAAAACCGAAATACAATCCGACTTGGACAAAATACAAACTATATAAAAAATACACGACGGATGAGGCTGGGAAGTTGTATTCTTTCTTATTGTTGCTTTTATTGTTGTTTATTTGTTCGTATGCTAATTAACACCTTATGCTGCTTCAGCCAGCGGCGTTTCAATTAAGTCATCGCGAGAGCACCAAGATCGGATCACCAAAGCTGAGGACCGAATCACCGAATCGGGGAGATGGAGCTCGTTTATCAGCGCGTGCGTTTACGTTTCATTCATGCAAATCTCCGGCTTGGCCATAACCGGCCATAACTCAAAAGCCGAAACTGCCATCAGCGGCATCATCATCCATCAGTTGGACCGCCAAGCGGGGGCGGGTACTCTTGTCCGTCCAGGTGTCCGCTGGTCTGTTGGTCCGATTGTCCGCTCTGTCTGTCCCTTTCCGACAACACGACTTTTTAATTTATGATAAAGCGCCTCCGACTGTCACAACGGAATTGCGGCAATAACCATAAACGGCTCAGCAGGTGAAAACTACCAAAAGAAACCAAAAAAAGCCAAAAAGAAGCGCCGAAAGACGGTATCCCTCTCAATCTTTGGATCTTTGTGTCATGCAACGCTTAGACGTCCCGAGTGCGGAGATTAACATAAATGCAGCTCATTAGTGACGCAATTAAAAATCCGAGCCGACAAACGGTGCAGGAACACCTATAGATCGATGTGAGATGGCCTGATCGATCGATCTTGGAGAGCTGGATAGGGGTTTTTGTCCTCCCCGACTGTCGTTTATGGTGGGATTTTTTCAAAAAAGTTATATTTTACATATTTGCGATAAATTATATCTCCAAAATATGTCAAAGGTATCAGCCACTCGTGGTTATTTGGAAATCCTTTTTCTTGCCTTAGATTAAATTTTATCTTTTCTTAGCTTTGATGGAAATGTATCTTTCTATTATCCTTTTTTTATTGCACTAGTTATATAGCACTAATTATAATCATTTTAATTATTTTATATATCTTAGATTCGCACTTCGTTTGTTTTTATCTCGTATCTCGATTTCGTTTGCCGGAAACCCGCGCCAAGATTCAAAAGCCTCCTTTTATTGAATCGAATTCATCCGCAGCACGTCCGACTCGCTTGAAAATTTTTGTTTTTTAACCTGCGGGGTTGTTATTGGCGGCTGTTATATAGCTGCCTAGCTCTTGTGCTTGTGCCTCTCTCAGATACAAGATACTCGCACTGATGGATACGCAGCTTTTGATTTTTAAACAAGCTTAGGGCCTTAATTCTTTAAGAATCTGTTATATTGATCATCAATCTTATTGATCATATAAATTGTATCTTTATCCTTTACCGTTTTTTACGGTTTGTAGATACTTTCCCCGATTCGCCGAGATACAAGAGAGCATTGCAACATGTTCGAGAGAGTGTTGGATGTTCGATCGGGAGTTGGAACTGCGATCGCTGGTGTTTGAGGCGAATTCGGTGAAGTTCTTGGTCAAAAGGGCACAGACCAAGTTTTGTTTGGGAAAGGGGTCTTAATTTTTATATTTTTAAGAAATTTAAAAATATTTTTTTTCTAAGATTTTATAAAATACATTTTCGGGAACCTAGCAGTCAATTTAAGACTTCCTTTGAGGTTGTATTTTGGTGTTTTGTCAATGATATTCATAAGGTTTCGATGACTTTTTTCTTTCTTATCTTTGCATGTTTTTATCTGGTAAGTTTTAAAAATATCGAATATATTTCGAATATATTTCTTATAATATTTTCGACTACATGTACTATATCTTCTTATGTTTTTTAAATTTTTTCGATTTAATCTTGGGATCTTTAGAATCTTCTAGGGTACTAAAGCCTCGAATCTTTCCATAAACCCGCTTCCTTTTCCAATTTTGTTTCTGTCAAAGGGGAAGGAGCATAAACTTTCATCGGCAATCAAAACAATTATGTGGGTAAAAGTCGTGTTTTCCGTCCCTGAGAATGTTTCAAGTACTGCTAAACGGCCAAAATGATTTAAGCCGTTTAAACGGCCGAAACGGTCTCCTCTTTGGATGAAACTGATCAAATCTTTCAGCTTCATGGCTGCATTCGGTGATTTGTCAGTGTGTCGAACAAAACACAAATCATGTTCATCAAAGTGTGGCCACAAATGTTATTTATATTTTTTTGTTAGTGGCGTTTGGGTTGTTGTGGTTTGTGGTGTTTATTCCGCAAATTTATAACTCGTTGTGTTGACTTCAACTTCAACTACGATTGCTGCAGTTTGCAGTTTTCGCTTTTACAAATTGTTTTTGAACATTTGTTCAAAGTGATTTATTGTCGGTTATTTACAGTCCGCCTCTTGACCAGTTGGGAAATTTGTTCATTTTTTATTTTCCACGCGCCTAGTGCTGCTTAGTGCCCAGTGCCATGCGCCTCCTCAATGCCAACACCACTACTGCCGGTAAACGGTAGCCAAATGCCTCGCGAAAGAAGGAGGAACCGGGTGCAAGGCAGGGTACAAGTTTGGGCCAGCATCTAATGCATTTCTCGGATACGAGTGTCGTCTTAATTGATATGTCATTTATGCTAATTCCTGCCCAGGCACCCGCCTCCGGCTCTTTACCCTACTGCCTGGATCCAACCGGGCCAAAAGAATTCGCTATCTGGTAAACGGGCTACAAGATGTGTTTAGTGCAGTTGGAGTAGTAACAGTCGATGGCAGCCTATTAAATGCAATTAAGTTAATTTAAACAGTTTTGTGTGGAAAGCGCTGACAGCTAACAATACACACAGGTGCCCGCGGCTCAGGCTTGAAAACAATTGAACATCTATTGTTGTTTACTGGATTTTAGTCAGCCTCTGACAAGAGTCTCTGACTCACATGGATGATGCGCTAGTTGTTAATCCCAATAATGGTTGACGTCAATTATCGACACAATCGATACAGCAAGGTAGAAACCTCAATCCGCCACTAGTGTGACCCAGATTGCAGACGGAACAGACTTTGGCCCAAGTACCGATTAAATGGTTTATTGTGTGCCAAGACTTTTAAATTTTCAGATAATTGTTTTATGGCCGATCTGAAGTCTCTTTATGGCAGCCAATCGATTGTTGATTAGCACCGGCAACAGCGTCAATAGTAGAAACAACCGTGTCGGTGGCAACATTGTTGTGCCACCACGCTCTGGAGGATTAGTGGGTGTCGCAGCGGGAGGGGATGTAACTTATAGACACTAATCTGCCATTAAAGGCTATATTAAGAATCCAAAAACTATTAAATACAGGTGTTTTTTTAATAGTAAGATTTTACTTAAAAAAATTCTTAAAATTATAAAAAAGTAGTATTTTTTAACTTTTTTTATAATAAAAAAAAATATATTCAAAATTTAAGCGCTTTGATAGAACAAGTTTTAAGTTACACAAAGATTTTAAAGTCAAAAACTCCTTTTGTATTTTTCAAGTTTTTTGCCTAAGTCTTTTGTTTTACTTCTAATTTTATTGTTTTTTGTAATTGAAATATATATCACATAACGGTAGCCTAATTAGGTGAAATGGGATTAGAAACCGAAAAATAACAGCCCATTGAAAAATTTATTGAATGAGTTGATACGCGGCTTACGCCACTCCAATGGCAGGCACACTCAATGGCCATAAAATAACATATAAAACAGCCAAAAATAAATAAAAACAAATAGAAAACAAAGCACTGGCATATAGTAATCATGAATAGCCCCCAAAATTCCAACTAAACAACGAGTTTACTTTACCGAAATACCCAAAATACAATAAAAATGGGGAGAACTGCCTTCGGTTTACTATAGATTTTATTGTTGTGGCTGGATGGCTGGCTGGCTGGCTTGTTGGAAAGCACCCGGAGGCAACAGAGAGGGGCAACGCTTGGTTTCACATTTCCACCAAAGGGGGCAGAATCAGCTTCCGCTGAATGTCAAGCAACGCCAGTGAAGCGATGTGGCCCGAGGAGTGAGAAAATCATTCGTATTCGGAAAGTATGTTTTGTTTTTTTTTTTTGTTGTGTTTTTTGGACTAAACTGTGATTGGCCATAAACAAGTGTAAATTGAGCTGGAAAAGCGGAAAGGCTCTGGCAACGCATCCGATTTCATCTGTTGCTTTGCAAAAGGTCGAGTGCAAGCCGATTTATTAACAAGACACTGGCGAATGGTCTGGCATTTTGCATTGTGCTCGTAATTACGAAACAACGCAACAACCGAGAGATACAGATGTAGTATCTACGCCCCATTAGCTCATCCTCGAGCCCCTCACACCCTTGGTGGCAAGTGTTAATTGAGCTGCACCAGCTTCTTTCCCAAAAAAAAAAAAACAAGAGAAATGGGAAAAAGGAAAAGAAAACTCTGTTAAAAAGGAAATGCCCAATGACCCAAACCAGCTGCCAGAGTGCCAGTAACTAAGAGCCGTTTTCATTTTCTCCTTACCTGCAGATACGCAGATACTTTCTTCGGGGCTAGATAGGGTTAGGCCGGCAATAAGGACAATCCATTGATAATGAGTGGCGCCAGCTGGTCGTCTGTGTCGGCTTACTTAGACAAATTGATTACTAATTGGTTTGTCAGGTCGGCAGGAGCAAAGGAACCAAGGACTCCATGACCCAAGGATAAAGCGATCCACTTAAAGTGTTGAATTAAACTTTATTGGATTTAATTACAATTTTACAGAAACTGGAAAGTCGTTTTACAATATATATATATATATTCTATTCCCTCTTTGTGTTTATGTGTGAGTGTATCTGTGTCTGTACATATATAATACGATTTATTTTGTTATTTTTTTAACACTTTTTTAGTTGCGGATATATGTAGGTGTGTATAGTTCATGCTAAGTATCTCATACAAGTAAGGTATAATGTTTAAAAAGATTACACTCTAGTTATTCTTGGCTTAAACGTTTAGTTAACAGTTTTTTTTTATTCATATCCATTCCTATTTGCTCGTCTACTAAGCTGAAATTTCGGAAAACAAACCATCCAGATACCAGTTTGGATTTGTTGGGAAATACATAGTTAATTGATTGGTTAGCTAGTTGAATTCGAGGAATAAGAATATAAGAATAGTTTGCTCGGTACATGCGCCGCACTTTAGAAGTTTTGATTAGGACGAAGATACATAGGTGTAAATTATCTAACAGATATGTGAGTACCAAATATCCAATTATTTTTAGCTACATTAGATTGTGTGTCGTATAAAGTTTCATCGTAAAGTTAGATATCAACAATTTTGGTGTTAGATTTTAGGTTCGGTTCAGAAAAGAAAAGACCGTTCGAACAAAACTAGGCCCGGGGTAAATGCCCTACTATATAGCATTCGATATTGATACTTTAATAGTTTTAGTTGTTTTTGTTGTTACTGCTTGGTATATATTTATATAATTTTTGTTTAGATTTAAGTTTAGTTTTAGTGCCAATTGGCTTAAGGTACTTAAGTTTTCATTGCCTTCTGGCCTCCCCACTATCTAAAAAGACTTTTTTTTATATTTTATTTACTCTTCAAAACACACTCAGGTTTGCTTCTACATATTGAGGTTTACAAATGGTGTGAGTGTGTGTGTGTTTGGTCTGGCGAGCCAGAGTGTCTGGTGTGTTTGTGTTTGATAAGTGCAAATATTGCATTTAATTGGATTTAGTTCTCGGCTAAGACCCTGCCTAAACAGTTATTATTAATTTCGTTTTCTAACAAAATTGATTGCAATTCATTAAGTCAGTTGAGTAGTGAGTTCGTATTAAGTCTTCATTTCGAATCAGTTGATCAGATTTATACATACATATAGTTAAGTTAAGAGCAAAATGCAATCAAAGTAGTTTCGTAGAGTAATAATAGTGCGAATTAAGTATAATAGTTCGTAGTTAAATAGTTAACAATGTGATAGATCCTAAATCTCACCCATCACCATCCTCAACAGCTGCGATACTGCGATTCTCATTGCGGCAAACACTCGTCGAGTAAAAATCAACTCACAGCCCATTTGCACATCGAACTTCCGCAGCAATTCGCAGTTTTCACACACTCGCACTTGAACTTTGCACTTGGGATTTTTTTTGTGAGTTTTTGTTTGGTTGTGGTTGTTTTTCTTATTTTTTTTTTTTATTAAATATTATACTTGTTAGGGCCTGCTGGAGGTAAGTGTTCGATTTGGTGTATGTACATGCGTAGTCCAACTCGGTCATCTGTGTAGTTTGCTAATTCGAACTTGAACGCTTCTTTAAAAATGGATTTCTATCAGTATCAGTTATCAGTATCGGCTCTTTCTATATATTATATATTTATTGCATTCTCTTTTTGTAAGTATATATGTTCTTGTTGGTATGTTATGAAAGCTAACAATGTGGACGGACAAAAATAATTTACAAAAATTCATTTATTGTTACATTTAGTTTAAAAACTTTTCTCTCATGTTTTGGCTGTGTCTTCAAGCAGTTAAGATCAGAATATTTGGAAAAATGCTGACAGAATTCCAAAGCAGATCTTGGCAAGTTTTGTTATGGTTTCTGGTTTATTGATCTTTGTTATTCTCCCAAAGAACGTGAAAAGGCTTCTTTTGATTTCTTCTATCGCTTTAGCTAGGCTTACACTAGGTAGTCGTCAGATAAGGTTACACTTAGTATACATAAATAGCATTAAGTACTTGCATTAGGGAAATTAGAATAGAGTTTTCTTTGTTTGAAACATGATATATATGTATGCTTTTAGATTGGTAGCTGCTGCGCACTCCCCACGAATCTGATTTTAGAAATCAACAACAACATTTTGGACTTTAAGTGGAGTCTTATAGCTTAAACCTAGTTACAGAGCAGTTAGCAACTATTTAGGATTAGGATTTAGGATAATGCTTTTAGGGTGTTTCTTTTTTTCCGCTTTTGTTACTTTTCGTCATTTACTTTAAAGACAAGCTTAGTCGCATCGCAGAGCTTGGGCTAATACGTTAAAATAGACTAGAATTTAGTTAGTTATCATCGAGTTAGGCAATATTTATATACAAATGTAACTATATAGAGGCATACACATGCTTAATATTGGTTTAAATTTTATATATACATATATATATATAATATGTATATATTGCAGGCTACATTTTTTCACTACAATTGGAGTTAAAAAGTTCTTTTTTTTTGCGAAGGCTTCAGTAATAAGTTCTTTCGAGTTGACAAATGGAAAAATTGTGTTCTCTCCCTGGAGTCTGATCTTCAGTTAAGATTAGGTTTTAAGTAGTACCTTATTCAAAAATCCACTAACCTAAGCTACATATGTTCGAAAACAGTGTGTGTTGTTTTTTTTGTATTTCTATCCATAGTTTTTGTAAAATTCGTTAGGAAAATGAATCGAAAGTGCAGGTAGTAACTACTAAAAAATTCATTATATACTTAGTATGTGTACGTGTGTGTGTTTTTTTTAGAGAGTTTTTTGAAACAAAGTTTCACTACGGAGGTGCTGGGGATTGTTTTTTCCAAAGCGGAACAAATACGAAAGTAGAAAGTTTCACTCGGTTGTTTAAAGCTATTTATAAATTCTTATGGAACAGTGCAGCTCGTTCCTATGTTAAAAGTTCACTCAGTTGACCCTCACTGATTGGATTGCATTTGGTGTAGATTGTTGATGGTGTTTGCATTGGTATTGCCGCTGCCCGGAGCAGTAATGCTGAAAAAATATTAATTTTTAATATATTTTTTAAATAAAGAAAGATGTGTATGTTTAAAGTTACCTATTTTCTTGGCAAACCAACATTTCCTGTTGCCCTTGAAACTGCAAGTTTTGAAGGTATTCCGCCCTGCGTTGGTGCACCAGCTTCTCTTTTTCGGCTCGTTCTTTCTGCAGTCTAAGATTTAAAAATTATTGTTATTTAATTGGAATCTTTAGCTTCAAGAAACTTAAAAGTGAACTGAAAAAAAACTAAATCCTTATAAGGCCTTACCAAAGTCGTCAAATTGCCATCCCAAATGCTTGCGTGCAATTACACATTACCCATGAGTTAGCTTATATTCAACCTTAGCCTAGTTTAGTTTTTATTTTTATTTCATTTTTTGATACTTACTTGATGCGTGATTGTCTCATGAACTGTTGGATTTTTCTGGCAGCTTGATTCTGGGTAGACTGTGAATAGGTTCGCCTGAAAAATATTTAAAATCAAACATTTAAAGAAAGCTAATAATCATCAGAGTTAGAAACTTACTTCAAAGGACCCGAAGGACTCGTTTCCTTGGGCGTGCTGGGCTGGGAGCCCATCTCGTGCTGTTGCTGCTGATCCTGCTTGTAGTGATCGTAAAAGCTGGACAGGCACTGCGAGTTGCTGCTCACACTGCCATGGTCACTGCCCTCGCCCATGCCCAATCCCTGGCTGCTCTTCTTGAAGCGCTTGTTCCGACGATAGGAGCGGTAGCCGTGCTGGATGACCAGGGCGGCGTTGGTCATTTGGCGATAGTAGGCGTACTGCTTGTACCGCCTGTAGTAGTTCTGGATCACAATGGCGGCTGTGCGCTCCTTGTTCTGCTCCTCGAGCTTCTGGCGACCCTTGTACGAGCGGTACGCCTTTTGGATGCACTTGGCCGCCTCGTACAGCTCCCGCTGCTCTGTGTCCGTTAGCGTAAGCTTGGAGAAATCCGCCTCGAAGGGGTACTGCGAGATGCTGGAGGCGTGGAGGAACTCCGTTAGTTGCTTGGTGGAAGGCGGCGGACTGGGAGAGCTAACTGAGGGGTCAGTGCCCAGAATGGAGTAACTGGCCGGCGACTGCAGAGGTCCAGAGCTAGCCGGACTCAGGCTGGAACAGGGTGTGCTGACGTCGTGATAACGATAGCTATGGTCATGGAAGTCGAAGCTAAAGTCGCTGTCGAAATGGGTATTGGGCAAGGAGTCCAGCAAAGGATCCATAAAGCTGTCCGTCAAAGCCGAAGACTCGGAAGTCAGAGGTTCTGTCAAAGGACTGCCCAGGACCATCATTTCATCGGCTTCGTTCTAGAAGATAATGGAGAGAATATTAATTAATTTTTATTTAATGTTTTAGATTAAATACAAACCTTAATGTGCTCTGGCATGGCTGCTATTATATGCTCAGCTAAAGTCAAAACTTTGGCATCCGAATCCCCTGAAATAGCCAGCAAGGACACTCAGTTAAACATTAGTTTCAAAAGGGTATGATTTTAGACAAATACATGACAAACAAGGCTACGTAATTAAGTTGGACACTTTACAGTTTTGTATAAAAAGTTGATGGGTTTGTTCCTTAAAGTTCAACTAGCCTTAGGATCTGATTGAACTGAAAGTCACAAGACTAAGTTGTGTGAATGCAACGCCACAGAACCATTTAATATTATTTTGTTTGTATTATACACCGACAAGCATTAGTGTTTCATCTAGCTATGTACATCGTTAATATATTTACATTCCTGGTTAATTATGCGGCGAGTGTTTGTTAGTTTAAACTTTAAAGTTAGTACGAGTAATTGGTTAAATGTAGACACCGAAAATGGCGCACATTTTCTGGGCGCCAAACAACCAGCAACTATTATTAATATAATACATTGATTAAACGAGCTTCCCCACCATCCCAATCCCCCCCAACCCGTCATAAAACCAATCACATGAGTACGCATTACAACAACAAACAGAAATTAGCAACAACAACATCAACAACATCGATAGCCAGCCGTATGGGTTAGTTAGTAGTAGTACTTATGTTTTTGTTTTTGTATATTATTTTATCTACAGTACAGTTTACGGGTGAGGATTTTGTTTTTGGGTTTCATGATATTCAATAGGCGGCCGGTTGTGGTTGGCCTTCGTCACTGACCTACAACGGCATCGGGCAGGACCAAATCATTGCCAATGGTCACATCGGTGGCGCTCGTCGAGTTGTCATCGCAATCGATGTCTTTGTCGTGCACGGGACTCGATTCGCCCGTGGATACCTCGCCTAGGTTTGAATTTACCGAGAATATTTTTGAGCATATTGCTGGGAACTAATTGGCAAAGATAGGGTACATGCACGGGATGGATACCCAGACTTACAGAGAGCAAAGTCCATTTTGCGGAGCGGCGACAGGAGGCAGTTGGTCCCAGTTAGCGAGTCTAGAGGTGAGTCCACGCCCAGGGCATATGTGTCATGGCTTTCAAAGTTGCTTCAAGGTTGAAAAGATTAAAATATAATAAAAATAATTAATAATAGCTTATACCTATGCAATCTGGCTAAAGGTTTTCCCGACTTGGTGCGTATATCCATATTGATTCCACTGTCAATCGAGGAGCGCTTGGAGTAGCGACTGCTATTGTTGGGAGGACTCTGGTTGCTGTGATTAAAACATATATTTATTTATGGATATTAGTCTATAAGGTTTAAGACCCACCTATGAACAGCTACAGGTCTTAGGAAAACTCCATCATGTTTTCGCTGCAGTTCCAAATCAAAGCTACTGAAACTGGAGGGAGGTTGCTCCTCCACCGTCACCCCTTCAGTTTCCACACCCATGTTCATGGAGAGGTTTGCCAAACCACCTCGAAGTGGTGTCTTGCGACAGCGTTCCTTCTCCAGACGATACATCTGGGCCAGCAGGTGTTTGTGACCCCGCATACTGGCCAAATCCAAAGGCGTCTGCTGGGACTGGGTCTTGATCTTCAGAGCGTTGTGGTTCCATTTGTAGAGCAGCAGAGAGCACTCCACATGCCCTCGGACACAGGCCCAGGCCAGGGGTGTGAAGCCGTAGACATCCTGGCTGAGGGCGTCTAGTTCGGTTTCCAAAATGATATGTGGATTCTCCGCCCGCCAATTGAGCATGGCTCCCACCAGTTTGGCGTAGCCCAAGGCGGCGGCCAGGTGCAGGAGACTCATGCCACGCAGGCCCACCGACCAAGATGCCCCAGTGCTGGGCAGGCTCCAGGCGTGTTTGGTCAGTTTGTGGCAATAGGCCACCAGTTTCTCCTCGAAGTTCGGCTCCAGATACAGAGCAGTGTGATCGGTCTGGATACAAGACAACTATATAAGTACAAGATTAGATTCCCATAGATTCTCTTCTCTACTTACTGTTAGGTCCTGCTCGGTCTTGACCTGCAGCTTCTCGTCAATGGTGGACAGGCGGTTCAGGAGAGTAAACTTATAGAGACAATCATTGGAGCTGCTGGCATCGAAGGGAGCATCCGCCAGCAGGGAAAGCTTATACTCGAACATCACCGAATTAGAGACTAGGAATCCCCCGCAGGCTACTTGGAGCGTCACAAAGCCCGCCTCGTGGGCAGGACAATAGCAACGCAGGACTCCCTCTTGGACCAGTTGCGTGGGCACTGGTTGGGCATCAAAGAGCACTGTGTAAGCAGCGCCATGACTACTAGACCAGGGACCTGCCACAAGGACCTTTACGCCGCCCTCTGTGTACGACCATTCCGGACTAAAGTCGCAAATGGTGAGCGCCTTGCGAGGCTGCTGGTGCGGATGATGGTGTTGCTGGGACGGCGTCGCCTCTCCCAAATAAGAGCCCTGCTCCAGGGCCGTGTTGTTCAGAGCCTGCTTGTCATCCAAGTCGAGTTCGGGAAATTCCACGAGCATGTCGAAAGCATCCAGATTGGCAAACACATCGTTCGTCTCATCTTCCTCGGCTTTGTTCGTCGACTCAGTTCTCAGGACTGCTTTGGTTTCGGTTTCTTGGTGATTGTTTTTGGCTTTGGCAACAGTGGTTGCAACTGCCACTGACGCTGCTGCTGCAACTGCTTCTCCTCCCACCGCGTTGCCCGGCATATTGGCTATCAAAGTTCGCTGAATGTCCTCGTGGGACAAATCCAAAGTCTCATTGAAGAAGCTCAGGGTCTCCGGCTGGGGTTCATCCTCGCTGCCACTGCTGCTACTGTTGCTGTTGCTGTTGCAGTTGCTATTGCTGATGTTCTGATTGTTGCCACCGAAGCTGCTGCTCTCGTCACTGGCGCTAATTTGGCTGCTATTATCACTGGAAGCACTGAAAGTTGCACAACCATTTTGGTTCAGGGTCTGACTCCTGTTGAGGGCCAGGGGATCTGCGGCCTGATTGTTGATGTTGCTGTGGCTGGAGATGATGCTGCTGCTGCTGTTGCTGCTGCCCACATCCTGCCATCGAATAAGTTTTGGAATTTAATCAACATAAACATATACAGAATAATTATTGCAGTCTATTTTGTGGTTTCCCACGACACTCACCTCAGAGAGCGCATTGGCGCTCATTAAATTATCACAAGTTGCTGCCGTCGAAGTCGTTGTTGTAAGTTGTTGCTGTTGCTGTTGCTGCTGCTGCTGATTGCCATCGATAATCGATTGTAAGGAACTCGAAGTGGATGAAGTGCCCGAAGTGGATGTGGAGGAGACTGTAAGGGAGGTGGTGGCATTGCAATTGCTATTGCCAGCGGAAGACGTTGCTGCTGGGGGCTGACTGTTGCTGCTGCTGCTGCGATGTTCGGGGGACATGCACATGGCCTCCACCTGGGGTTGGGGTAGTTGCTGCTGCTGGAGAGGCGGGGGCTGACCACTACTTGGGGTGACTGTTGTCTGTTGCAATTTATAATAATGTTGTTGCTGCTGCTGCTGGCTGCTATTGCTGCTGGAAGCATTGAGTTGCTGCTGTTGATTGTACATAAAGTTATTGTTGCCGGGGTCGTTATTATTTACGACATTTAATTCGTTGTTTGTTTGAGCTGTTAATTGCTTGCTGGCATTGCTGTTGCTGTTGCTGTTGCTGCTACTGTTATTGTTGCTGCTGGAGTTTGTGATTTTGTTTGCGGTCATGTGGCTTTGGTTTTCAATTACTTCAGTGTCCATAACATTTGAGGCTACTGCTGCTGCCGCCGCCGCTGCTGCAGGATCTCGTCCTGTCGCCGTAATTGTTGTATTGGCTATTTGTAGCCTGTGCTGCTGATTGAGATGCACGGAGCTCTGACTCTGACTGGCTACGAATCTCTGCAGGCTCAGGTGTTGCTGTTGCTGCTGATGGTATTGTTGCTGCTGCTGCTGCTGTTGCATCACCAGATTGCTCCTGGCCGCCAACATCTGACTGTTTCCCCGATACTGCTGCTGATAGCTTCCATCCTGCTGCTGCTGCTGTTGCGGCGGAATGATCTGGAACTTGATGGCCGACTCCTGTGCCAGCTGTTGCGTGGCATTGTGAAACTGTCCATGGGGATTCTCCACCAGCTGCCGGGGTCTCTCCGCCCAGCGGGAGTACAACTTGCTGGCCACCACCACGTTGGGTGCATTACCATTGCCGTTGAAGCCTTCGCCTAGACGCTTCTCCTGGACCGAGGACTTGAGCATGGCGCCGGAACGCCGCATCACAGGATGTGAGCAGGTCTTGCCATCCGCACAGCCAGCATCCCCACAGCCGCAGTCCAGTTGCTTCACGAGAGCAGCCTGTCGGGACAATCGTTGCTTCTCCATCAGCTGGCAGACAATGGATTCCACGGTCTCGGCAGTCTGGGAGGGAATTATTACAGGATTTAAGATAATAAGATAATAACCATGAAAGGCTTACTATAGTTTGTTTCATTTACTCACCGATATTTCTATATCATTGCCTGAATCGGAATCATCATCTGAATTAACAGTGGAAACTAAAAAAAAAATCAAACAATAAAATATATAGTGTAATAACTTTAAAAGTTATAAAGACTCTTAAGGACTAATAGTACCGGGTATCTACATCCGCAAACTCAAAACTTACGCATTGGTTTCAGTTGACTGACTAGCTCCTCCTTGGTCCACTCCTTCTTGTCGCCCCAGAGCGTAATGCTTGGAGCTATTACGGCCATTTTATTATCATCCGGATATGGGACATTCAGATAGTGCACCAAAACAATGTCAGGATTCTGATGGCGAACCAAGATTAGTGGGCATACAAAAAAAAATAAAATCATAATGATGGAATCTTACCTGCAACAGCCAGTAACATCTGCGATGAAATGTCGGCAATATGGCTGAGTGTACATAACAGCCGTAGATGCACTGAAAGAGTCGGAGGCGGGGTCAGATTCAGATATCGAAGGGAAATTCAATTTATCAATCGAGGGGAACACAAACAAGGGCATAAAATCGGGCTAGAACTGCTACTTTGTGGGGGTTTGGGGCACGCAGTATGCTTCCCGCCGGGACGACGGGAGAAAATCCATTTAATTGGAAAACATAAAAACGAGGAGCTATCCGTGGCGCTCAAATTAAATTACCGACCGCCCACGCTAGGGGGCGCCACTCGAGCATCGAGCAAGTGCCAAGAATCAGGACCCTCGTGCCCCCAAACTAACCATCATCCTGAAACGGAAACGGAAGAGCTAAGGAAAAGGGTTTCCCTGACTTGTAAAACATTTCGTTGCGCATTTTTCTTTCTTAAGTTGAGTTCTATCATTTCTTTTCTTTTATTGAGAATTTTTCCGCTTTTTTTTTTTCGTAGCCCGCTGATAAATTTGTTGGCTCTCTCGTTGGCCGCGATATGCCGCTGACTTTTTCTGTTTCGCCTTGGCATTTCTTGGATTTTTTTTGTGTTGTTTTTAGCTCGGAGGTCTATCTGCCTCGTTTGGGCCCAGTTATCATGTAAGAAGACGGCACCCCGCCAGCCAACTGCCAACTGCATAAATCTTAGCGCCGGCCACGTTTACTTGCGATTGTATTAAAATAAAAATTAAAATAAAAGCAAACAATCCGAGAGAGAGAGGGTAGAACCAAAAAAAAATTGGCGTGAAATTGCCAAATGTTTTTATGTTTCTGTAATGGTGGGCCGAGGGCTGAGGACTGGGATATACAGACTTCAGACATTATAAATAAGCTTAACCCTTGGCAGGGCTTATTTCATTAGCAGGCTAACGGCGACGTAGCACACATCCTTGAGCAAACAAGGACCAAAGGGGAGAACACTGTCTACTTCCGGCGGGAAATCATAATTCACCGAAACGAAAAAAAAACCCCATACGGTCAAGAGATAGATAGAAGCACGGAACCCCCAGGAAGTCATTCAATTTGAAGTTTATTTTTTTCCCCTTTTTTGAAAAAAACTTTGAGAAATGATGGCATTGGCTGGAGAACGCTTAAGGCTAATTTCCTAATTGTTTAGTTTGAAAAGGGTTATAGAAAATAAGTGCCAGACTCACCTCCGTTCCTTGGACTTTTAGTTTCATGTGATCCTCTCGAGTTGTCTTGCCATCCTTGCGCTTTTTCCAGCAATAGCCATCGCGTCGGTAGCGCACCTTCTTCCTTGAATAAAGTAATAAGGATCCACTCTTGGGTCTAAAAATATTTATCAAAAACAAAGACATAAATCACAAGTTAAGAAGATAATGGATTTAGTTAATCTGGAATATTTTTAGGCCACTTTTCAGTAAAGTGACTCACCTGGTTCGAACTTCTTTGGATTGCCATTCGCCGTGTTTATCAAAGCTGATAAGAATCGCTGCGATTTCCTGGAAGACATAAACAAAAACCTATATTAGACATACATGGTCGTCCTACTATATTTGCCAACCAAGTACATTTTATTTAGATTTTAAATAAAAGATAGCAAACGGCCTTCCCAGCTCGCGCTTATCAAAGCCGCTGCGACACAGGAAAATTTACTTTCCAAAATTCGAATAATTCTGTGCCCTGCTCACCGGCTACCGGCTCACCCGCTAACTTGGCTAACTGACCTTAACTAACGTGCTAACAATTTCCGGACTTAATGGGCAAAAATGCTTCACCGCTGCCCGGTCACGGAACTCGCGGCATTTCCTCCATGAGAGCCCAGGTCAGGGGAGGGGACTTCTGCGCCATAAAACAAAGGAAAACATTTTAGAAATTTCATTTGACCGCAAAGCGGACACTGCCACAGGATGTAGGGTTAAGGGGCAGGGAGGCCAGTGTGTTAACCACAATTTACAGGTGTCGCCGCCAGTTGACACTTAACCAGGCTGGAGGTCAAAGGCGGCACAGAGACGCATCCCCGAGTGCAATTTGTGTGCATATTTGAAATGTCCTGCCACCAAGGAGTTGCTGCCACATCCTTTGTATCCCGAATCTAACTGAAGAAGCAAATTCAAATGCAAATCACACAACAGCCAGCGAAAGTTGTGAGAGATTTTTGGCCATTTTAGACATTTCATTGCATGTTTTGCCGATAAAGTTATCAATTTGTTTGCTTCCTTGGCGCTGCATGAATAATGCAAAGTGGCCATCCATCTAGTCATCTTGCCACTCACATCACTGACATCCTCAGCTGTGCAGCCATATATGGTGTATGTGAGGACCCGGAACACGGATATCGCAGCAGCAGTTGCGAGTGTCATAAAAATTGTATGCCAAGGAATCCAAGGAATCCAAGGAAGGAGCAAATCACAGGCGCGTGTTTGTCAAGTGGCGAACGTTTGCATTTTGCCCAAAATTGCCCCTGACTTGGCCCTTTTGCCATCGCATAGCGCCAAAGACATATGGAATGATAGAAAATATATATAGAGATGGATGGCTTATTTTGCTTATTTATGCATGGCTCGAGCGGGCAACTCTTTCCACTCTTTTATGATGAATTCCGGGCACATACGCCGTAGAGCGAGGCATTAAAAATTAATGCCCACCTCAGCGTATTCCCATCTTGTGGGTATGGGCGTGGTCGCAAGACAAAATCTTCCTTCAACACTTTCACCAAATCAGTTACGAGCCGATGCATCCATCAGGATTCAAAGATTTTTCTCAAATATGTGAGAATAGCAACCCTATTCGCAGAGAACTAATTTAGTTCTTGCCACTTAATCATTTCCAGTCAAGTGGTCCTTGTAAGGTCGGAAGTCGGAGGTCACCCAGAAAACGAATGGGGCGCACAAAATAAACATAAAATTGCGACTCATTATCAATTTAACTTTTTGATTTTTAAGCTGCGCCTTTTTGTAACCACATACGGCTGGTTGGTTGGTCGTTGCTATTATTTTGCAGTTGCTTTATGAGCAGGGTCGAGAGTCCTGTTCGTCCTGGCCATACTGGGGCATCCCGCCCCAGGCCACTGTCTCTGCTTAAATGCCAAATTAAAACCATGTGGTTTAAGCGACAGTCCGAGGTTCGAGTGGGCTCTGGCCCTTTTTCTGGCCCGTTTTTCCTGTAAGCAGACTAAAATAAGCGTGCGTAATTTTATTTATGCCCCGTACACGGCTACATTTTGTAATTTTTGCATACTGGAGCTGGTCTGGCAGCAGGAGATGGGGATCTATAGGTGGTAGTCATGCCCCAGGACTCCCCGGAGTTGGAGTTGGTCATGTCCAGAGAGCTCTTTTTTCGAGGAAAACTTTATTTTAATTAACTATGAAATGCTCTTCCTGGACACTAGAGATATTTAAGGATAATATTACTTGATTTTTATTTTTTTTTAAACTTGTATGTTTACTTTTAAAGAGTTCCACTCTCAACTCTACAACTGGCCAAATGAATATTTGCGGTTGCGCTTAATTCACAAGTAAAATAACAACCAGCCAAGCTCATTGCAACGAATTGTCTCCATTCTTTAGCTTTTTTTTCTCATTTTCAGTTTGGGAAAACTTTTATTGCAATCCAAACAGAAATTGTACACCGCGGAAGCAAAGTTTTTGGCGGCGCGTGGTCAGGTTTCCCAACCAGATCCCAGGACCTACACAGCCTCGTTCTAACCGTGTTTCTGTATTATAGTTTAAGGCACAATAAAAAACGTCGCGAAGTGTTTTCTAATAGACTGGCGACCATCTCATTAATCTCCATACTGGAAAAAAAAAGTACATAGTAGTAAGTTGGACAGGGGGCAGGAAGAGCCGTCGTTGAAGGCTGTCAAAGTGTCCTGGCCCGCGAATGGCAGGCTCATCCGCCTGTGGACTGCTGTCCAAGAGCTCCAAGTCCTTTGGCCTTCGGGGTGCCGCCCTTTGGCTTTCACTTGGCCACCCCATTTCGACAATTTTATGTGCAATCAAATGCAAATAGAAACACAAATACAAATACAGGCAGTCAAAGCAAATACAAATACAAATACATAGAGAAGTAGAACTTAGAACTAAAACTGACCTCATTTGTATTCCAACGATGACGCTGTGATGGAAAACTGTCGGCTCTTGGCAGGCTCTCCAAATTGTCGGGCAGCTTGATGGGTTCGCCATCTGTAAAATCGGAAAGGAAAAAAGGTTAAAACCAAGGACCAAAGACACCAAGGAGTGCACTGAAAGCGCAAGTCGCCACTTGACTCTTTATAAATCAATTTTTGCATATCTTGCTCACAGTTTCAGGCCCACCAACAGGTGCAACTGTCGGACATTCATAAATGCGACAAAAATGTAAATCAGTTTAGAGCAGTGGCGATGATTTATAGTTGGGCCACAGAGTTAAGTGGAGACGTTACCCAGGAAAGAAATCCTATAATGTCAACATTTATAAACGAGTTTTTGCATTTATCCCATTTATCAAATTCCAAGATAGCCCGAACCACCAACTTAACTGAACTAAACTAAAAAACAGCATTAGCTGGCAGCTGACAGCTGGCAGAATGCGTGGCAAACTTTGTCGATTTTGAGTCATTGAATAATTACCCACACTTAATGGTGCTTGCAACGTAAATCGAACCAACTTTCGGTTTATTAAAATGCCACGCAACTCGCGAGGGTAAATAAACTTTGCGGCCAAAGTGTAATTTAGCAAAAATGTGTAATAAAAGCCATAGGACGACACACATCTACGCGACATCTAGCTGCCCCTGATCGTACCCTCCAAAAAGTCGTATATCAAAAGGGCCAATAGGTTGCACTCGAAGAGACATAAAAAGTATTTGTACACAATTTATATAAAGTGCTTGGAGTGGCCCGGAGCGTAGTCACTTTGTGGGTATTGCCTGCCAGTTCAGGCCGCGTAACCAAAATGTGTTGCCAAATTGCAAATGCCAGACGCTGGAGGTAGAGGGTTGTGAGGTGCAACCCTAGGAGGGACAGTGCGTTGGGTTATCCTTCTGCCACCCAGAAGAGGTGAGCACTTACCACACTTACAAAGAATTCTATCTTAAAAATTTTAAATTTTAAAATATATAAACAATTCTTTTAAGATTCAATACCTCTAGAAAAAACAAGACCTTCACGCACTGTATTTCTTGGCCAAGATAGTCCCCTTCTTGCCAGTTCTCGAACTCACAATGATGACGTTGATGTAGTTACTTTTTCAGGGCGTTGTTATACTGGCAGTTGAGGTTGTTTATGCGATTTTTATATGGCCCACGTTTTGGCAAAGGACACACTCCTGGTCTGAGGAGGTAGGGACGGCTTGGGGGCTTTGGAATCGGCGACAAATTGTTTGCTTTGATCGCACGTCTTCAGTTTTACGGCCAAACTAATTTGTCATCGCTGCCTTGAATGGAACTTTTAGCAACTTATGGGTTGTATTTTCCTCACCATCCCAGCCAAGTTGAAAAATGTTGAAGCGATAATTGTCAAAAATGTCGAAACAATCAGACTACCTGGCCCCCATCAGAGTCTCAGAGCCTTGCACCTATTTATAATGCAGTTGCTGCCATTGTTGTCAAAAGTGAGAGCGGGCTGGAGGGGCGAAGAGCATAACTCTGTTTGATTAATACAAATAAAAAGTTTTTTTAACTGCTCTTTGCATATTTTATGGCCAAGAGCTTCAAAAACTGACGTTGCCCGCCATCATAATAGACTGCCCTGCGGGAGGGTGGACGGGTTTTGGCCAAAAAAAAAAAATCCAGTCAGAGTAACAGTCACAGCAGCCGTGACTGCCAAAAAAGAAGGTGAACCGCAGGTGAGGGTCTTTTTACGAAAAACGCGAAAAGCGTTAAGGGAGTCGAGTTGTAGAGACCTCCGGGTCCCATGTCGCCAATGTCGATGGCGACGTCAACGTGGTTTTGCCGAAGTTTTTACCTTTTCTTTTCGGCGTTTTTTGTTTTTGTATTTTCAGGCATTATTTCAAGCGGTGGAAAAAACTTTAACCTGCCAGAAGGACTGGTTAACCTGCCTCATCTCACCATCATAATTTTCAGTGCCGACGCTTAATTGTGACAAATGCGCTTTGGTTACACAAGATTGTCTCATAATTCGACTGAGAATTTAAGGAGGAGACTCTTGCAAATGGCTCTAGGGATGGACAGTGGATGGGGATGAGGATGGCCATGTCCCGTGGATTGACACGGCAAATAGCACAAAAGAGTTGATATAAATAATAAATTTTCGTTTTATGATTTCGTGCAAAGGCCTGTCCAGGTGGAGGCTGGATGGAGCTGCCAATTTGTGCAGCCTGCCAAATTGTGGCTAATAAATATCTCACCAAAAAATACCATGGCTGGTACACGGCTGGTAGGCTGAAGGTTGGTTGGGAGGTTTGGGTCTGGGTCTGGGAGGTATATCCTATAAAACATACAAAAGAAAAATTGTTTTGCACTTTCGTGACCGACGTCGCCGAAAAGTCAGCGAGTGTGAAATTACTTTTGTTAAGAGTCACACACAGATAGAACTCTTGGCCACAATTAAAAGCCATTAAAGTGTCTACCAAATAGCTGAAAAATAGCAACAAACTAGAACTAGACAGAAGAGTTGGCTACGCAATTCTTTATCGCTTTATACATGGCCGGGAAACGGGAAAATAAATATCATTCTAGATGGATTTTGTAGATAAACCACGATGACGTCTCGGACATGAAAAGGCGGGGCGCAAAACAAAGGCCAATAATAAATAGATATGGTCTAGAGAGGGAGGAGGCCAGTAAAGACGTCATAGTTGGTAATACACAAGGAACCAGATAAAGTAAAAGTTTTCATGATAATAATAGTAAATATTTGTTAGATAGGCAGGGCTAGAAATAAAATTCTTTAAAAATCTATCTCTTTTAATAATTCTCAAGAACTTGTCTCAGTGAGGGGAAAAGCTTTTTGCATTTCTGTCAGTCGTATGCCAGAAGATATAAAATTCAAAACCTGCTAAGCAACTCCTCCATAACTGACAGATGTGCGGATGATTTATAATGTAAGCAAACTAAAAACAAACAAAACTCAGAGCCACACACATTGCGGTTGATAAAAATCACATTTTGGCAAAGGCAAGGCAAAGTGCCCTCCTTCCTAAAGCTGTTGGAGCTGCATTTTTTCCTCAACTGTGGCATTACAAGGAAACATTTCTCATTTCTCATCCAGTTTTGCATATTCCGGGGCCCGGCAAGAACAGCAATTAAAAGACACATAACAGCAAATATGCATGTCAGGCGCGACGGGGCCAAACAATAATTAGCCCAAAAGCAGCCCAACAAAATGCAATTTTACCTCAAATGAGGAATATTTGCAAGGAGTCATAGGAAACGGGGAAATATACAGAAAATGGAAAAACAAAACCCAGAACTGAGCACAACAGCGATTAACATAAAAATGCAACAAATGGGGCTGAAAAGCGGGGCGGCGCAAGGGCCCAAAAAGTCATAAAAGTCCTATTAATGAATGAAATCTAAACAGCAAATGGCAAAAACAAAGCGAAAGCCAAACAAAACTTTTGCGAAAATGTTATAAATTATTTACAAGTTATGACGAGGTCAGAGGGGGTCTATTCTGTCAGAGCCATAAAAGTCGAGGAAAAAATGCAATTACCTTGGGATTTCATTACTCTTCTAAGCTTTCAATGCACTTGCCAAAATGGCATTATATCATATAGGGTTATACTTGAGAAAACAAATACCCCCCAAGGTATAGACCACGAAAAAGCATAAATTTAAATCACTTGCAAGAGTTGACTCCCCGTATTTAAATGTCTGACAAGAAGGCAAAAGGATATAAAGGATAACACACACTGGCCGTTAAGCCGACTGCAAATTATATTAATACGGGGGCTCTTCATATATATATATATTTTTTTTTTTGGGGGGATTCATTCTATTTTTTCACGACTTGTTTGGCTTGCATGCAAGCCCTGTATAAGTTTCCCCTTTCAGAATATTAAAAATATTTTTTTTCTTTCTATATAGTGGAGTGGAGTGGCTAAACGAAAGCTGTAATTTATTTTAATGCCAGGTATTTATCATGATACACATACGTTTCGCAGGTAACATAAAAACCAGGAATATATTTTCGGTATTTTGTTTTTACATAAATTGTAAATTAAACATTTAAAGTGCCATGAAATTGTCTAAATAGGTAGCCTAAAAACACATGGCCAGGGCCTACGATAATGCCCGGCAATGGTTCATTAAAAATACATAAAATCGGAGCACTGTGTTATCCCACACTCCAGATCCGCTTCTGGATCCAGGGGCTCTACTAAAACTAATATTTATCTAACAAAATTAATATGGTTTGTAAGCCAAATAGAGACAGAGTCTGGGTGGGGGGGGGGGCTGGTAAAAACTGTTTGTCTAACCAAAAACAAACGACCGAATGTAGCACAATTTTCGGCAATGCAATGCATCGTTTCTACCGGCCGGAGCGATAAGCCAAATAAATAACGCAGCCTGGAGGTGGTAAGGATGGCAGGTCTAGGCTGGCAGGCAGGCAGGCCAGGTAGGCAGCATCATGCCACAACGTTGCATGCATTGTTCAATAAATCTATTTGGCCTCTAATCGAAGCACACACACGCATACACAAAGAGAGAGAGATATAGGCAAATGGCACCTGGAAAAGGCAACAAATTGCCATTGGATAGGCAAAAGACCGGAAGCAACAACAACATATTAATCCAAATTAGCATCAAAGTGATTTAATTGCTTGGAATTTCAGCGTTGGCAAACACTTTTCGACATTTCAGCCAAAGGGCATGGTAGGACATGGCAGGACACTTGTAAACAAGCCCCCAAAAAGGCTATACCAACCCACCTGGCTGCATTTTGTCAACGATTTGGCCATCGATCAGGCTAACAAACAGGATGCATATATAAACTCCATCTGCTGCAATTTAAAGTCCTTTTGCTGCCATCTTCAAATGGCTCTCTCTCTACCAAAGCCCTTGGCACGATTTATGTGGCTTTTAGTAATATGAGCAAATATATTACGTGACGGATCAGTTGAGGGCCTTTATCCTGGACGAAGGACGAGGACGAACTAATTGAATTGCCGCTGAAAACGAACAAACTCGAAATTAATAGGCGCACATCAAACGGCCAAAAAAAATGAGGCATCTGGCAGC